CCAAGGTACGGGATAGTTCTAGAAACGTGGCGTCACACTAGTCACGTGACTCGCTGACGCAACAATATTTTAGGTAAAGCTGGCAAAGAATGAATTGTTTAATAAATAAAAAGTAATGATGTGGATTCACCAGGTATCCATCTCGATACTTCTTGCATGCTAAGCGAGCACTCTATTATCTGAGCTATGAACCCATAATGTAATATCTCAAGTAAAGTATCACTGGTAAGAGCTTTGCTTCACATGCCTTAGCAACATTCTATCATACGGCACTAAGTATTCATATTTAGCATGTTAAAGCTTAAGGGAATTTACTAGAAAATTCAATATAGTGCATAAAATTATAATCAAGTGTATATATATGAATACAGTATCTGGTTTTATTACGTAAATAGAAAATAACAACAACTTAGGATTATGAAAACATTGCAGACCCGTACGTAGAATGTTTGAAAGGGGTTTTCTAATTTGTGAGATCAAAAGCCAACACACATTGTGCAGATCATAATCAGCATGCAAAATATGCTAATTATCGAGGTCTGGAAGAATGCCCCCCCCCACTCGCACACACACACACACACACACCAGAAAATTTGTGAAAAAAAATAGGGGCTACGTGATTAAATCTGGAAGCAATTTTGCATGAAACGTAGCTTAAACAATTGTATGGCTTTTCAAATAAAATGCACAAACATCCAATGAAATGCTAGGAAAAATAGGGTTTTCAGCTGAGCCCCTCGCCTCCCTGCGTACCCTGACTAACTTCCCGTACACTGTGATCTTGACACATGGTAGTGTGTCGTGCAGCCAAAACAACCTGCAGTACAGACTGTGTGTTATTAACAGGAGTGATAGTTTAGCAATTTTCCACTTTCTGTTGCTCGGACTATGGTAATCCAAACTATCACATATTTTCCGTTTATATGCTCTACTGGACTCTTACTTCACATACCAAATTCAAAGGCAATCCATTAAGAAATACACGAGATATAAAATCTCCAACTTGATCGAATTTTTTCCTATTATTTTTCTTCCCACCGACAGTACCAATACTTTTAATGCTTGGAGACGGCTTGAATGAGTAATGAAGAAAAACTTTAATATAAGATTAACATAACAGCAAATGTACAACG